ATAAGTATAATGTTTAATTTTTTTTACACATTGTTTTATTTATATTATGATAAAGCGATTACGCGCCACTTTTTCTTTAACAAACCGTATCGTCATAATTTATAAAAACATATATATATATATAATATATACAGCACAATAATATTAACTAGGAAATGTAATATACACTTATAATACCGAAATATAATTCACAGAATTTACATTTAAAAGTCATTAGTCTTGTGTACGACCGTACACTAAATTTTCAGGAAGTGATCATGATGCACTTGGGGGTCTAAAACCCTAATCTTTTTTATGACACAATAATATTGTGTACATTGTATACGCATATACGATATCTGTACGGTCAAATGATTAGGTATACGTTTTCGAATACTGAACAACGCCAACGGTGCTAATATATTTATGATATGTAGTGGAATAATTTTTTTATGCGYTAGTCATTAAATTTTGAACTGCCGTATCACGAAAAACATATTCAAATAAATAACGTCAATAGATATCGTAGAAAAATAAAACTTATTTAGCGTTGCAAACGCGACAAGARTTTATTGGTGTGACACTATTTTCTTCAGATCGTAAAATATGACGTACACAACCATTAAATTAATCTGCGAAACTACACCAATGCATATAATATATAAGATCGAATAATTCAAGGAAAATATATCGGATATTTGTCCATGCTACCACTCGAGTACCACACAAATAACACCGCTACAATTGGCGCATTTTGAACAAGATAAATATAACACTAAGRGGTGTAGTGGCCGGGTGGATTAAGGCGTCGATTGCGACGCGCACCGTCGCCGGTTCGAATCCCGGTCATAGGCGGCATCGCTTTTCGGGCAGTTCGTCTTGTCTGGAAAGAGAGAGGACGCCGCCCCAGGCAAGGCAGAAACCTACGGGTGCCTATTCGAAATTCTGCCAAAAAGAAAAGAAAAAAAAAAGATCTACGAGTACCAAAACCAACAGTTCCCTCCCCGACAGTTCCGCAAGCTAATGGCCCTTGTTATCGAAGCCTCAACCCCAAATAWAAARAAATATATATATAAYAYCCAACGTAATAGGTATACACTATAAAACTACCTACGTGTATGTTGAACGTTTATAATACATATGTATGCATGTTAGATAGGTTATAACTATAGGGTTGACTTTAAATATTATAATAATTGTTTATTTAAACTCAATTATGATATTATAATAATATATACTTAGTGTGTAAAATCAATATTTTATTTTAATAAAATATGAATCATGCAGTCGAACGAAAATTATATGTATTTATATATACTTTTAGATAAAACCGTCGAAAAGTTTAATGAGGTACCTATATAGATTTTTTAAAGAATTTTGACGATAAGTAAACCACAATAAAGTTGATTTATAGCTTAGATATAATGTAAAATACAATTTCATAGAAAGGTTATAAATTAGTATTGAATGAGGAAACACAAATTGAATCCAAAGTTTCAAATTATTTTCGTTATTTATTTTAGATATTGGCGGAGAAGCTACGTATTGCATTCATAATTATTATTTATTATTTTTTTTTATATAATTTTTCATAACTACTTAAAAGAACTTGAACTTGCTACACTGCGTTCGAGTATCCAATCTATCAAATTGACATGTTTAAAGTTGTTTATCATCTCTAATACTAAGGAGCAAATCCCAAAATTTAAAATACAATGACTGTATCTAATAAATGTATCACMCATTATTTGATTAATAWAATAATAAGTTATAGACTAATATTCAAAATATTTATACGAAAACTAACATTTTTAAATTTAGAACATTTTTACAAAAAGTTTTAGAAGATATTACGAAAGTTATGATTAAAAATAATAAACAATGTTTCTATTGTTATACTCCTAATTTATTCTAACCAAGTAACAATTTGAAAAAAAAAAACTTAGAATTAAGTCATAAATCATTTTTTCTTTGGCTATGTAAAATACATACATATTTACAAGTAATGCAATTAATTGATTTTACAATGATTAACTATTTAGGGTACTGGTGAAATGATAAACTCATTATCCACTAGCAGTAATCAAGAACTCAATTTGTAAAGACAATCTTTGAATATAAAAAAGCAATTCGATAACAATAGATTGCAAGGAAACGTCTCATTAATTATTATTTATTATAGATTATGTCAGAATAAAATATTAAAATAAAAATGAAACAAAAACTAAAATAATGATTTTTTTTTATACATATTGCAT